AGTATATATATATATATATATATATATATAAATAGTTCAAGTAATAAAGTAATTGCTTAGGCGAGGAAATAGCTGCTTTGTGTTACTATCGTGTGGATTATGGGACAAATTATCACACTGTCATTTAGATAGATAAGTAGATATGTCAACTTTGAAATATTTTTAATACTTTTCTCCACTGAAAAACTTTGTCATTATTTTTTTTCTATGAATATTAACTACTATTATCATCCTTTTTATTTCTAGATTTTTAAGCATTGCTTTCTGCGAAGTAGCTTCAAAGTAACCTTTGTATTATTACACGAACAAACGTTTTCAGAAATATCCATAATCTTCTGATATTTTAACAAAATGCTGGAGTTCAGTAAAACCGTTTAATTTATTACTTTGCTTATTTCAACGAAATCCTTGCTTGAAATATACTACACTATCGCATTTACTAAAATTGCATAAAATGTAAATTATCAGCATTCTCCAGTCCCAACATTCATATTAAATTAAAATAAATAATCTATAAAAATAATAAATGTTACATATTCATCACCTCGTTTTCAGGGATAGTCTGTTCAATAAACAGTAGTTCAAATTCATCTCCATTTAAAATGACTGTCACGAGTTTTTCATCTCCCTCATCTGAAAATAAAATTTAAATGATCGATATAAATCACGATAAACTAATTAGGTCCACTATACCCTACTTAAAGAATATAACAAACGTAACATAACTGTTTATGCATTAACGTATTTTTGTAAATGCTGAACTTAGCACCAGAGATCATCGCATCCTAAAATGATTTGCTGCGCTAACTTTAGTGTTATTTTCTGTAGACATTCAGAACAAAACTTAAAGACATTTTAGTGCATAAAATCAGTTGATTTTTGTAAATGATAGTCTTATCTTCCATATGTATATTCATATAAATGTTGTACACAATTTAACAACTGCTCTCTAATTTATTATTTCTTCATTTAAAACAATTAGCTAAAATTGTGACTTTGCTCCTTTCAATTTATTCATTGTTGTGAATGACAGTAACGTACAAATCTATAGGATGCACTAATAAGTAAATGCACTTTAAAAAACAGTAAACCTACAATATAGGCCCGGCATGGCCAGGTGGGTAGGGCACTCAAATCGCAATCTGCGGGTCGCGGGTTCGAATCCCCATCACACCAAACATGCTCGCCCTTTCCAGTCGTGGGGGCGTAATAAAATGACGGTCAATCGTTGGTAAAAGAGTAGGCCAAGAGTTTGCGGTGGGTGGTGATGACTAGCTGCCTTCCCTCTAGTCTTACACTGCTAAATTAGGGACGGCTAGCGCAGATAGCCCTCGTGTAGCTTTGCGCGAAATTCAAAACAAACAAATAAACAAAACCTACAATAAATAGTTATCAATTAATAGTAGAAATATATGTAGTCCTATCATAAATTATTCTCGCGTACGTCTGCATTAAACCTATTAACACTCAAACTTGCATAAAAGTTATTGGCACGAAAATGTTAATAGATACGATAAAATAAAGATCTATATTAAATTCGCACACATTAAGTACAATAATACGGATAAAAGTTTACGTTAATGTTTATTTATTTTCTGTTCAAAAATTTTTTAAAGATAAACTATGTTTTATCTTTTTCTCACATCAAAATTTTTAATTCCAACAAAAAAGAAACGTAAGGCCTAGTCTATTATTATTAAAACATATATAATGCATTTTACAGCGTTTTTGGAATTTTTACTTTTTGTGTATTTCTTCAGTGCATTTCTTGAGTAAGTGCTAAAGAAGTTTTGTTTTACAAAACAACAAATATTTTGTAATTAGGAATGAGTTACATACCTTGAGTACTGTCATAATCACAAATATACTCGGATGTCTTGAACTGGTTTGTTAAGGTCGATTTACCAACAGCAGAACATCCAAGTACAAGAACACTGTATTTGATGTTTTCATGGCTCTTAGGGGACGTTGGAATATTTGTCTTAGATGAGGTGTCAGGAGTTTCAGACATTACTGGAGTCGGACATTCAGGTTCTGGAAACTCTGGAGATTTTAGAGGAAGCTCTTCTTTAAATCGAAAAGAGTCACCTCTATTGATTACTCTCTTCGACCGGACAGAAAAATTTCGAAGTCGTTGAAGAGCTGTGTCTTCGTCGCTCAAAGGACTAGTACTGGTAGTAGGATTATCTGTAGCGATATCAGATATGTTACAGTCTTGTTGATGGTGTGGGAAGTATTCAACATCAAAATCGTACCTTTCAGCTGGTGTGCCTACAGTGCGTGTCCGACTAACTCTTTTAATATTCCGTTTTTTGCTAGGTTTGGGCTTCTGCGTCTCTCCTGGATGAGGTAGTGTACTTTGTGATAGCTCCCAACCACTAATCCAAGGATTCATTGTGTACGGTCCAGTTGGTCTTGAAGTAGAAGGAACAGACCACTGCCCTGTTGGCGACGGCGTTTGTAGAGTCAAACTCTGAAGATCGGGTGCACTTCTCGGGATCTTTAATGAAAGTCTCGTTGTTGATGGCCTAGAAAACTTGAAAAACTCATCGTCTGATCCGTCTTCACAAACCAAGAAGCTCATTGTAGTTTTAAAATGTTGACAGGATAGAAAATCTATGTTGTAAGATTTTATAATAATTCAAAATAAGGAAGGTCTTTGACTTAAAGTTTAACTTGGGTCATGTAAGGATCTCGGGCTTTTAGCCAACAGATCTTTTCTGAAAGACAGCTCTCTACCAGACATTATATCATCCTGGCATACTGCCATCACGTGACCAAATGACGCTGTTTCTGTTCATTTGATAGTTTATGTAAGCAAATAAAACCTTACCTGGGTGCAACGTAAGCTCACCATTCGAAGAAATGTATTTTTGTACAAAGTAAAAACAAACTTGGTTTCAAAGTATACAAAACAGCTTCCTCCGAAGAGAGACATCATATAAAAAAAAATTTATTTCAAAGAAGCAAACTGGAAAAGCTTAGGAAAGCAGCTAGAGAATCTCATCAAAGACACTCTTACAATCAAGGTCGATGTTCATTGAAGTCTCTACGACTTAAATGTTCGAGTGTTACAAAATTAAAAACTCCTCTGGTCGAGGTGCTTTCCACGATTTAACTGACAGACCAACAGCCACTTTCACATGCTTGCCTGAAGTAAAACCTATTGATATTTTAAATCTAAAATATATTTGTTTTTTGCTCTTTTAAAGGAAAAAACCTTATATAAGTAACGTGTGGTTTAGCCTAAAATGGTTATACCTCCATCTTGAAAATGTAACTGATCAATTACGTCAAGTATTAGACTCTGATAAACCTTATTGTAATGACCTTGTCTTATGACTCCTGATCCCGAAATGTTACACTGAACTAAAAGTTATTCACGACTACACCATCATCGTAATCGGTTGAATCAGAGTGGTTATCTTGCTAATGATTTGAACGTTCTTTAACAGTTCTTTTCATCTTTAGTTGAGTCAGTTTGATTTTCTTGCTTTTAACCATTGGTTTTTGATAATAAAATTGATTGAGCTTCAAGTCAATCGAAAAGCTAAACTTTATAATATAAACTTTTTTCGGTCTTCTTTTTTTCGGATTTAGCATTTTCGCGCAAAACTACAGAAGGGTTATACAAGTATAGCTTTCCCTAATTTTGAATTTATCGACATGAGAGAAGTCAACTAGTCAACAGTACCAATCGTCAATACTTGGGCTTCTCTTGTTTGATTAAAAGAGTGGGATTTGGCCTTCACTCTTATAGTGCGTTCACAGTTCCAAATTTTGGAGTGCATTTTTGTGACAATGGGACGCAAACCATGAACTGTTGAATTCACAATTCTGGCACACTAACAATTAAGCCACACCCGGCCAGTTGTTGTATCAATTTTGAAATTTATGTCGTAATAGTTGATATGTATGATCCTGGTATTATGCCCGTTCCTATCCCTTACCATTTTTTCATAAACTTTTCAACGGTAGAAGGACTCGCAGGTATTAATAACGAATAAAGATGTTTTCGATGTTGTTCATTCAAATTTAACAATCAAACAGTGGTACTTGTTGAAAACACTGAGTTTACTGCAGTGTTGCTTTGATTCTTAATGTTGTGTTTATAATATTATATAAACCATAAAATATGAAGATTTAGTTTAATTTACGAATTAACCACAAACTCAAACATTTTGTTTCAGAATTAAGTACGATAGTACTTAATAGTGGAGATCGACAAAGTTTCCCAAGTAATTCACACGCCGAAAACCACTCTATATTACGCGCATATATATACTAATAAGTCGCTAAAAAAATCGCTGACATTTCTGGTATAACAATTGAGAATTTTCTAAAACAGTAACTTTTTCGTCTACTGCCTACCTAATCACGTCAGTGGGGCTAGCCCCTAGACGGCTTGAACTATCGCTACAAGATTTCTCCACCTTACGTGACTGGTCTGTGGGTATCCGCTTTTGATATTCCGATAAATATATACAAATTTCTTATAAATGGTAAACATATCATGCACGTACTTAATTATGTCTTAAACCCAATTCAACCCAACATATGGTGCTATATATATATCGATGAATAGACACGTGACAGTTTCTACAGGTAACGTATATTCTTTATACAAGTATAACTTAAAAAGTAAACAGTCAAGATTATTAAAATTTATGAATTTTAAAATGAAGTAGAAATTCTACTACAAAAAAGTAATGAAACAAGAATTAAACACATACGCAAATTTATAAAATGTAATCTCTACTTTGGCAGCTTTATGCATTTATCTGTAGGCCAAAGTAAGGATTAAATTTTGTAAATTTGTGAACGTGGTTTTAATTCTTGTTTCATTATTTCTTGTAGAAGATCCTTACTTCATTTTATAATTCATAAATTTGTAATATTTTTTTAATATAATACTAGTGAGTGAGAAGTTTGATGAATAATCAGTTTATACTGGAATAGTTACAAAAAAGTTCAACAGATGGCGAAGCCTTCAAATCAGCATCCTCACAGTAATATATTGTATTCGTGATTTAGGTATCTCTGTCAGACAACAAGAAAATCCCACTATATTGTAAGTAATTCAATGTTGAAATTGCCTTCACTTGTTTGGAATGTTCAGGCTCTGTTTTTTTCCCTTCATTGATTGAAATTAGAATACAAGTGATCTATTTTCTAAAACCCTGAATGCATTAGTTACTCGATATTCCGATTGGAAATATATATATATATATCCCTGACCTTTCATATGGTACTATACCTGTCTATAAAATACATTTTGTTTGTTTGAATTTCGAGGGCTATCTGCGCTAGCCGTCCCTAATTTAGCAGTGTAAGACTAGAGGGAAGGCAGCTAGTCAACACCGCCAACTCTTGGGCTACTCTTTCAGCAACGAATAGTGGGATTGACCACGCATTATATCGCCCCCACGGCTGAAAGGGCGAACATGTTAGATGAGATGGGGATTCGAACCCGCGATCCACAGATTGCGAGTTGAGCTCCCTAACTACCTGGCCATATACGTTTTGTTATATTTGATTTCATGGATATCTAGGCTTTTGTTTTAGCTATAAACCTACTGTTGACTGTTTTTACCTGATCACTACACACTTTGAATAATTTTAAAGAGAAAATGATGGCACAGCTGTCAAGCTGTTTCTAAGCCTACACAGTAGACTAATAATTATGTATGAGCCAATATTTTGTCCTTTGTTTCTCACCTTGTTAGTTTATCTCTGTACCTCCTTTTCTAAAAGTATACTTTTTGAGATCATCGTATCGGCATTCTTATGGGAATCAGAATTATCTTAAACATTTTCTTATACTTTACACTGAGGGTGAGATTATCAGATACAATATTATAAATCTGTTATTCAATGGTTGAAATGTAATTATGGAGCTAAGGGCCTAGTGACTAACCCACTACGCCACTCTTGTTAGAAAGCTTTACAAAATCAACTAATTGACACGACATTTTATTTCTGCTTATTCTGTATATTAGATAAGAAAACGTCACCAGTAGTTTTGACGAGAACCAGAGTCGTACGACCTTAAACAATCTTCCGTGACCAGCTTACACAAAATATAATAAAATGCCACACACGTCGCTCCCAGACCCACTCAACTGTGGATAGTTAACTACAATTTCACTCTTGTCCGATGAAGACCAGTTTTAGCGCATAGTTCTATGCTACCATTATAGTTTCTCCAAAGAATTTATATTATCCTATGATATCGTTTCATATAATTAGAGGGGGGGGAGATTCTCCTTAGCGATTGTCTTTACTCTAGAGCTGGACCCTCGCTTTAATTATTGATGTTACTGTGAAATAGTATTGTTTGTATATACTTAGCCTATCTTGGGTCTTTATATACGTGTGTATTTCTACTCTGTAAAAGTCTCTCTGAAATGCTGTTTACATTTGCTTTTGTAACCTTTCGGTGAGTATTGGTAGCAGTTCTAGTTTAATCTGATATACCATTGAAGTTACGATTAAAAGTTATTAGCCTGAGAAAAAAAATCCTATACATATATTTTTCGCGGTTTTGTTGTGTTATTTTCACAAACCCCTGAAAACTTTTTATTCACAACGTTCTACATACTGGGTGATTCCGTTTCTCAACAACACATCTATCTACTCCCCTGTCACCTCCTTCTTTCTCACCAGATCCTCGAGCGCTCGGTTTCATTAATGTTTCCTAGCATTTACCTGTGAGTCTCTTAATGCTTTAAATGCCATATTTGTTAACACCTGTCAGGATTTAGTGAAACATAACAATTCTCAGTATTAGTTATCTTGATTTGGGATCAATGCTAATAATTTTCTTTCTAGAACTGGAGCCACTAATGAAAAAAAAACAATTTTCTTCAGTGTGTCATGTTTCTGATAATATTGAAATTATTAACAGCAGCGCAGATTACGATATATTAACCAACACATATCAAAGCGTGACAGGAGACTGTCGGTTTTAACACAGTTAATTAAAAGTTGACGTTTTCAGCTTTATTGATTAGGTGTACGTGCGCTCATATAATTATTAGGTTGTCAAGAAATTAATGTTTCTTAATGTTAATTGATGTTTTTAGATGAAAAAAAAAACGACAGTATATATATATATATATATATATATACAAAACATTTATTAAATGAAATAGTCTCCAGTCTTATCAATGATGCTTTTCCATCTTACAATCAGGTTATTAATGCACTGATTAAAGAAATCAGTTGGCTTTGAAGCAAAAACATGTAGATGTCCTCTTTAAC